AACCCGTCGTTCACCCTCCTATTTGTCCGTCTCCCTATTCCAAGCAGTATTGCTTCTCACAGCTCACTGGCGAGTCCGAGCACTGCACCCAAAATCAAATACGGGACTGAAGGTGGCCGTGGAGCGAGGCAAAGTTATCGCAGAAGCACAGAGGTAGAAGGCTTCGAAGAACTAAACCTGAGTTACGCAGGCGTTACTTTCTACATCTGTAGCAAGATCAACTACCTCGAGGTCTGGGTCTGGCTCGGCCTCTCAAAGAACTCACCCGTCCTTGCTACATGCCCGAGGTGTAGGGGCACGGTGGAGAACAAGCAAGTAGTGGCTCACACCTTAAATCTTAAGTAGGTTTGTGTCACTACATGAAACAAGCCGAGTTCTCCGAGATTTACTGCAAATAAAGAGGAAATGATAAAGCTGAAAAAAAATACCAACCACCACACAAAAACCAAGCACGTGTGTACGCAGACATACCGAAGGAGTCTTCAGCTTCGGTCCCCAAAGTGTGTTCCCAGGGGAAAAAAACTCCACGATAAGACAGTGGCAAAAGCTGCCTCCCTGGGGCACCTGATTTCTGGAGCACAGAGTGAAATAATTTCAGGTGAAATAAATTTCAGGTGAAATAAAGCAGCGCACTGCCTGGTCTTTCTGTTTGATGTAGAAACTTCTGCTCTTTCTGAGGTAAGGGTGATAATGCAAAGTTTTAACTTCATGATATGAAAGCGCAAAAGAAAAAAAATAATTTAAAGATACGTTGCCTCCCTCTTGTCAAAATTAAAATTACTGAACAAAACGGGTGTAGTTCCGTATTTCAGAGTATCTCGCAGGACCCTGTACGCGTATGCTGGTAAACTGATCTTCACAGAAATAATTTCGAAGTGAAAATATACGCACACTCAACAGCACACGACAAGGGAGCTGACATTCTGGGACTGACCCGGCGTGTTCTGTACAAACAGTTTACAATTTAGGACTTCTAAAGCCAAACACACCAAACGGATCAGACGACTCGCAAGGACCAACTCCTTCCCCCGGGTTCCTTTCCAAGGGCGCCCTGCGACGCCACGGTCTTGTACTCTCTCCGACGGTTACTCAGCGAGTATCTGAGGAACAGCACGAGCGTAACATCTGAAGTCCAGGGCGCAGCTAGAAACAGGGATTTCTCAGCAAAACCACTTTGAAGAATACGCTCCCCAGCAAATCACTGGCAGCTACCACCCTACATGTATTGCATAAACTATTGTTTCCCCTTCCCACGCCTCCTCTCACTGCAAGGTGTAGCAGCAAACGTTTTCTGGAATTACACCAGGAAGGAGAAAGCTCAGTCTCGAGTCCGCCCGGGCGGATCGGATCGACTCCTTCGTATCTCACGCTGCCTCCTTCGAAGATTCGACCTTCCGTCCTCGGCGGGGCCGGAACGCGGGCGCACGCCAAACCCAAACGGGGCGAGCCTGCTTGTTTGCTTGGGTTTTGGGGTGTGGGTGCTTGGGGGGTTTGTTTTGTTTTTTTCCTAAGTTTAAGTAAGCGTCAGAAGCAGAATTGAGCAGACGTGTTGAAGAGACAGACGCTGCCTGTTTGTCGCCAAAGAGGTGACTGGGTTTACAGGCAGAGCAACGGCGATCTATCGCGGCCCGAGTCTTCTTCCGCTTCTGGAATCCGAGGCAGGAGAGCAGATCGTGTCAAGCCCCAGAATTTCTGAGGTGACATATCCTTTTTGGTAGCCGTGAACTTCCAGCCCATATGGTTCCCACAGATTCTGCACTGGGCTATAGTCCAGGCGTACCTACGGACAACGAAACGGAAGGAAAAGGCATTTTAAAAAATACTGGAGCACAACTCGTCAGGTAAGAAGGTAACACTAGTCTCAAGCTAGATTTTCAAAGAATCTTTGGGAATCAAAGCGCCCAGCTCCTGTCTAAAAACTCTGCAGATCTTAAAAAAAATTTTAAACAGAAAATCAGCCTTCAGATAGAGAAAGCAACTAAAGCATTTATGAGCACACGTCAGCAGTGTGATGAAATGCTGTCTGCCTTAAAGAAGAGTCGAAAATGGTTCTCAGAGAGTTACTTAGTGGAAAAAAAAGTGATTTTTTGCACTGCTCCTAGATTAACAGGGAACTGCACTTCCCAGAGCAAAGGAGCTTTTCTTGAACCGTTCTTTCAAAAGGCAGAATATAAATATTTCAAATCCCTCACAGAAGGAAAGAGCTGAGAAAATACATAAGGACGAGAAAAAATAACTCCAGATATTGTAAGCCACAAATTTTCTTCAGGCAGTCTTAAAGCATGCGTGTCTTCTGACAGATATGACACACCCCCTCCACGTCAGCCCTCAGTGCTACCCGATAATCCAGGAAAAAGAAAAAAAACCAACCCCAAACGACATAATCAACATGAGAAAGTGGAAGTGGAAACATTACTCAACCTGCTACAGACAGAGCAACACATTTTCTGCTGTTTTTCGAGAGGATGTGGCAGCCAAAGGGACAGAAGAATGGTTTTTTACGCTCTGGCACAGAAAGGATCACAGAGAAAAGCCCTCTGGTAAGAACGTATTTAAATTCTATTTTTGTGCAACTACAATTCCAATATATTTTGAGCTATTCTCCAGAGTTAAACATTCAAAGTTTTGAATTAGGGCCCAAAGCATGCTTGCCTAGCCAAAAAATAAATAAATGAAATTTAAGCTACAAGAGAGAGAAGACATTTTGATGCAAGACTCTTCATTATCAGGCAGCCTTTTAGATCTTGGCAGCTAATTCTGCTGGGTTATAGGGAACAACACTAATAATCGAATGAATAAATAAAGCACCCAAGGGTAATCATATTAAAACAAAGTTAGTGACTTTTAAATTAATGTAACATTTAGTCGGTCGTCAAATCTACAAAAAGTATCTCAGAGAATAACTGCATTTATAGATCATGTTTTCCATTTGCACTTTGTTAACTTTATGATCAAAGGGAGCTGCCTGGAAACAATAACTATGATTTTAGTTGTGGCTTACACAAAACCATACACAGAGGAACTCACAGACAATCGGTATCCCATTTATAGCTCTCAGCTGCTGGCCTATAATTTTACATCTTGCCTTCCAGATTTTTAAAAAAATTAAAGAGAAACCAGGAAAACATTCAGTCTGAATCTTCCACTTCACTCTGTATTTTGAAAAAGTCTGAATTTCCTCTCTGGTTTTTCAGACAAGCCAAACAATGACACGTGGTTCAAGAACCACAATTCCATCGTTACAACCGAATTCCTGGCATTTACCGGTGAAAATTCTTCCCTCTGTTCTTACCCAGGAAACCAGCTGTGCTCTGTCGATGGTCGTCCGCTGAGATTCAAGTTGCAGGCTTTATATACAGTGAGAGTTTCGTGGATGTACCCATGAGGGTTCACGTACGCTGCCATGGGGCCGCACAAGGATAAACTACAACACAACGAATAATTCTGTCAGGGTTCAACGAAGAAACAAAAAAACCAAAGGCTGTCCCATGTAAACAGGGGAAAAACCGCCAACCGCGCTTAAAACTATCTTCCGGAGCGAAAGAAGAGCTTTAGGCTGTAGAAAAAAAAATCCCAGAGTTTTATAATCATACTATTAAAAACTGAAAGAAAATAAATGCTAATGGAAAATATCACTGGTCAGATCTCCCTAGAACTGCAGAAGTTTCAGCGTCCACTGTTACAAACCCGACGCATTCTTCACTGGCGTGAATCATTCCCGTTACCTGTCTCTGCTTGAGGAAAAGGTACTTAAAAATATATTATCACGAGTAATCACTCATGTATCTTCCAATCTTCCTGCTACCACAGGTGATGGACAGATACTAGTTATTCAAGATTAAAAAAGTGCCAAGACCTCCAGAAGGAGCAATTACTTGGAAAACGTGTAGTCTTGCCACTGTCGAACACGGAAGATATTTTCTAAGTCAAATACATAACAGGAACACGCTGCCTGGTGCATATAAATAATTAATTAAATTTTATTAGAGCCGTGGAAAACGCAGCCGTTACAAGACACAACCCGGCTGAATGCGTTTTGCTGTGCCGGCATTTCTGATCAAGAACCTCCCGAAGATGAAGAGCAATAAACTCACCTGAATATTTCATTCTTGGTAGTTATTTCTGTGTCTTGGCATTGCTTACAACAGAGGGACGTGCACTTGAAAAGAGAAACAAAGAGGGCAATTTTCTTCATTTCCAGACGCTTGTCAGCACAGTGGCAACTCATAAAAACGTGTGTCCCCTTTCCCCACAGCACATCTTGTACCAATTCTTTTGTTTATCTGGGCACCAGTCACTTCTGTTTTCTCTTTCTATCAGAGGACAGTTCTTTTCTTTTTTCTACGCATTTTACTTATTTATGGCAAACATTAATTGTTATCTAAATGACCAAACTTTTTTTTTTCATGCTTCCCCCCTAAAAAAAGAAAAAGCCACAAACAGAAGAGGGTCTGACTGCACAAAGATAATAAACCAGTCAAGCTGCCAAGGCCTCAGAGCTATTTTAGGAAGAAAACCCTTTGCTCTTCTAAACTACGACACAGGTGGATGAGTACGAATGCAACGGGTAAGTCTTTCTAGAACTTGAGTGTGTTGAAAATTGATGGTTTTAATTGCCTCACAAAAAATACATACGACATATAACCTTTAAGAGAAAGATTGACAACAGATGGATCTACCTTCTACAAATTCTAGCAAGTTGAACAAAACAATTCATCGCTGATATTGTCCAGAAAATAAGCGTTTAAGTCACCTTAGTAGGTCATTACTAAGGCAAACTGCTCTACTATACAGATACTACTCATCACACACCGGTTCTGTTCACCTCCCTTCTGAAAGCTCACTCAGCTCTTCTCTCCTACCAGAGACCTTTAACGATTACTACTGCTCCTCTTTTAAATCACCTTTACTCAGAGATTATCATCAAATGCTCCTAATACCCCTCTCTGAATTCAATTTAGGCAGCTACTCAGTTCCATCCCTCCACTCCCAACCCTCTTTAATTACTCCAATTAGGCAGAATTCACAGAACTGTTCTACCTGGGAGTAACGTACATTGCTTTTAAAAACCAGCACAGACACATTTAACAGTATTAACAGGAAAAGCTACTTGAAGTACAATGTAATTCACAGATCAGGTGTCGCAATCAGTTACACGACCGTAAATTACATTCAGGACAATGAAATGTGTTTAGTTCATCCTTCTCAAGTAAACCAGAACACGTTATGTTGCCAGAGCACCCCTTCTCGTTAAAGAACCCTGGCTCAAAAAGAGCGGATTTGATCAAAATAAATGTGGCTAATAAAATACGTCAAAAAAGGTAACACGTTTACAGTTCTCTCAGACTAGTATGGAACAGTTAAACACATTTAAAGAATAAAATGTCACATGCTGATGAAGAAAACACCTTTATGGTGTAGGCTAAAAACTATGAGGGTAACTTATGTCCTCTTGTCTCTCTGGCATTTCTAGAAAATACACAATGAACATGAACAGTTCTTCGCAGGACGTGAATATCAGAGTATTTCCAGAGTTTCAGACTCGGGAAAGACAAATGAATTCAATATGATTACAGAGCCTCACGCAAAAACCTGTCGATCTTTGTCTCAAGATGTGGAAGGTATTTTCTACCTCCTCTCTGCACATTCCCTTACAGAATATTCTGGCCCGTGAACCTTTGGAAGAGGAATGAGTATTGCAGCGATACTCTGGGTCTTCTCTTTTCCCAGAAACAGGCAGCAGTTTTTAGGCAAGCAGGCAAAACTTCCACATCCAGCAGCAAACCCAACTGGGGATACGTTCCACCAACATTTGGGACGATTTAAACTCAATTGCTCAAAATACTAGAAAGACCCATCTCTTGTTACAAAATCCACGAGTTTTCATGGCACGACGCTACTTGACTGCAGCGGGTTGTACCATCAATATGGGGTTATGATGTTCCTAAGATGCTCACAGGGAAAACTGGGCTTCTAGCACCACCTCTTGGCTAAAAAAGTGCTGCGAGGTGTTGAAACAGGATCTCTAACAAAAGTCAAACCGAGTCTAGTAGTGACAGAGAGCATTTCCTTTCTTGGGCAAGCTTTCAAAAGCGGAGAAAGAAAAGAACACACAAATTCACTCTCCGGAAGTATTACTTGGAAATTTTGTACGTTTTTTGTAACAGACTGTAACAGTCAAACCCTTTTTTTTGTGTGTGTGTGTGTGTGTGAGAACAATTTAATGACAAATAAAGAAAAAAAATACTCACTCTGTTCATAATATCTAATTCACACCGGAGTCGTTGAACGGCACTACCTATTTTAAGCAACTGTATACGTAATGCATCATCAATTGGCAGGCAAGCAGCAACTCTGTAAGAAAAATCTAGAAATGAGAAAGTACCGTGCCTGTTAGAATTTTGGAGAGAAATTCAAAAATATTCAGTCAAGAAGACAGACTGGCTTTTTATAAGTTTTTTTTTTTAATATGATAGCAAATTCTCAGGCAGCAACTTCATTCAGGTGTTAAAAAGCACCAACACAAAAGGCTGTGGACTCTACCAGAGTTGGTTTTTAATTAATCACATTCCTCCTACCATGGAGAACAACGGAGTTCTATTTCTTTTACTGAACATGTTTCCACATAGCTGGAGGATGTTTATGCCTTTAAAAGCTCTACCCTCCTTCTGTCAATCACCAACATTTATTGGAAACTGGCAGTGAGGGACGGACTGACAATAAAATACACTAATCCAAGTTTTGTTTTCTTGAAAAAGTTAAAAGCAGTAATACAAAAGTGAGTTCATAAGCTAACCAACACCATACCTATGGGGTTTGTTGGGAGAGATTCATCTTTAAGGTTTTCATCCCATTCATGTAGCTGCCTCTTGACTCTTTCCATCAAGGTTTCCTTTTGTTAGAAGAAAAGCCTAATTTAAATACATAGGTATTTCTGTTTTCTTAGGAAAAAAAAAAAAAAGGAAGCAAAATGTAGAGTAAGCTATTTTCCCCTAAGTGGACATTCGCTTTTAAGACTTACAATAATTACAGGCTCATTTTGTATTTATGTATTTTAAACTAAGAGCAAGGCAGGATGGGAAAGGGGCCAAATGGAACCAAGGGCCCACGCTGCTTTGCACTTTCACTTGAGATAAGGAGACAAGCGATCAAATTCCAGAACTGTACAAATGAGACAAGGACTAACCTCCTCCCTACTCCGGCCTCTCTTACACCGCTTACTTCGTGTGCTAACATAGAGCATATCCGAAGAAATAGGTACTTTTTAAAGAGCAAACCAACTCCAAGAGGAAAGACCCGACATGATCCCACACCCTGGGAGTAAGGACACTCGCCTGGAACACGTGGGACAGTGGATCGAGTTTTTTGCTCCGAGGCAACACAGCAGGAACCCAAACCTCTGTCACCCACTCTGGACACCTGCTCTGGCACGAGGGAGCAACTACACCGAGAGGGAAGCCCTTCCTCCTCTTTTCACGGTGAACTGAAAACCATACACGTCTTTAAAACATAATTTAGGAATTGACAAAGCTAAAGCTTTCGCATTGGCTACTAATCAGATGTTAAAACATCCCAAATTAATTGTAGTTTACTTGGTAAGACGTAAGGGGGAACTTACAGCATCGTACAGAGAGTAGAGCCAGGGAGGCCAAGACGTCAAACTTGCACAGTGGAACTTCCTCTGAAACCAAACCCACAAATATTTATTCTTTAACAATAACAGATTTCAGGGCCAGCTCTTGTTCAAACACATAAAACAGAGGAGGGAGACTTCATTATTTAAAGATACAAAATTATTTCAAGATAAAACAGATTAACACCATCAGGACAAGTACTTCAACATGAACTTCCAAACCACTTCTCAAAGGTGCCGAGAACTAAGACCTCTGTACAAGACAGACAATATATGGATTTTCTCAGAAAATCTGGCTCAGCATTAAAAGTATTTCTATGTTTAGTAACAGGAAATTAGGCCTTTCACAAGCAACTGCAGGTACAGAAGTTAATCCTTTAAGTGATGTAGGTTTTAGAGCAAAATTAGTAAACAGAGTTGTGATTCCAAACAACTAAGATACCACAGGTCTTTTGTTTCGTTTCTGAAATTTGGGAGTGATCTCTAAATGGCCTCTGCTCTTTAGAAACCTCTTCTACCCAAATCAGTCACAGAAAAAACAGTTACAAACTTACTTTCAAACCCAAAGTATGCAGCAGGAGCACTGGCACTGTCAACACTCCCAATATTCTTATTGTCGAAACAACATCAGCAAATGTTCAGATGTTTCTCTGACCTGCCTATATATTAACTCACAGTATAAACTTCTTGTTTTTTCCACCAACACTTCATCATCCACAAGCACTCTGAGGTGTTTTTATCATGTAAAAAACCCAATTGTAATATTATATGAACTATTACATAAAAATATTAATTTAATAATACCCTAATTAAAATCAAAGAGAACTAATAACCCAGAATGTGTATTTCCCCACTGCTGATGGCTGATAATCAGGCAACACGTGGCAAAAGCAGGAGGTGGCCACCCCAGCACCCCAGCTGCGTGTCCCCCTCTAGAGATGAACAGATGGAATCTTGTATTTTTCAAAACAGCATCAAAAATGTAAGGAAAACCACCACCACGACTAAATTCTCACCTTCTGATATTTCTGCCACCACTGGTGTATAGCTCGGTCCTGCCACGCGGTGGGTTTCGGAGAAGGAAACACGTGGCATCGGCTGAGGGACTGCAGCTGCACTGCTGACATCGTTGACGGCAGCACCCGCTCAGGAAGGATTTGGACTTTAGCCTGCTGGATTCTGAGAAAAAAAAAAAAGAAAGAAAAAAAAAAGGTGAGCTACACATACACATAGAGGAGTTTACAGAAATGAATTTTACTGCTTATAAAAACAGATCTAACAGATCTAATTACTCTACAGTACCACAGAATTTAAGCACCGTCTCATCAGATTTTTAGGGTTGTACTCAACTCAGTCAACTCTCCCCAGCGAACACGCAGCGTACCTGTAGCAAACCAAACACGTGCTACTCCAGAACACGGATTATCTCATGCCCTTGGCTCAGTATTAAAGCCACGGTGCTGACTGGACTTTCTGGTCTATTGAATTGAAAAGAGACACAATCTCCATTTCTCCTTCTCCTTTAAAAAAGAGGACTAGCCTTTTCCCAAATATTTTTTTGCAGAACTCCACAAAGAGCCCTGCTTTACTTTTGCAGGAAGGTTTCTTCACTGTTTTCCCCACCCCCCTTACAGTTAGCTACCTTTTCCATGGGCTCTCTTCGGGTTTTGGAGAACTAGGTGCCTGTTGGTTTTGCAGAATTAAAGACAAACCGGCAGTGGAAATACGGGAGGATATTCCCCCATCTCAGCACTTTTAGATTTTTGTCTCCTCGAGTTACCTCAGGTATAAACGAGGAGCTGACTATTACACATCAAAACCCTCAGAACAGAACTTCAGCTGAAATGCAGTTTGTTATCTTCAAGCCACGACAGCTTATGTGCTTCACCAGACATCAAAAATCAGCAGAAAGAGGATAAAGACTCTGATCATCTTATAAAATCCTGGCATCAGCCAGGTCACCCACTCCACAAAGAGTTCAGCCACAGTTATGCGGCTACTAGGAATAACATCCAGCAGGAAGGACTTTACATTTTAAGTGTTATGGATCAGAAATATTAAGACAGATGTCATTATAAATCTCCTGTTTTACTTATAAGGACAATGCTGAATTGTTAGCTTACCATAAATTAAAAATCATGTTTTGCTCTAAGCACTTAGTAATCAGAAACGCCAAGAACTACAGACACTTTCTCCTGGCTAAGCAGCTCACTATCCTTCCCTCTTTATCAAACACTATTTTAGGCTGGTAATGCTTGTTTTTTCCATTAGTTGCCTTGAACACATGAAAAACAGGTCTCGATGTAAATGCTTTATTTATGCCGGTGGAATGCTACGATCTTATTCTGTCAGATTGCCTGTGATGTACAGACAAAAGGGGCAGCCAACCGCCACGCTACGAGCCTCATTCAGAGAAAGAGGGAGCACGCTGGCGCAGGAGCAAGGAATCTCATTACCTGCAGAGACTGCTTCCTCTGGGCGAACTGAAGCTCTGAAATCTAAAGTGCACTGACAATACTTGGAGGTTTGAGCTCACTAAACCCACAAAACGAGCACTACTTCACAGCACAGCAACTCCGTATAGCTTAAGTCATTCCAACAAATCAAAATCAATCTCACCTCCTTTATTTTCTACATTTAAAAATTCGTATTTATGAATGAAGCTTGTGAACGTGCTGTGTAAAGGTGATGCTTGCTAGTCAGTAGATAAAAAATCATCACAATAAAATACTTCTAACAGCTCAACAAAATCACTGTACATCTTTGCCTGGATACTGAACTCCTGGTAACAATGCCACTGTTACTGCAGTGGTCCGAGTACTGCCATCTGGTGCTCAAGCAACGGCTTTTCTAAGCTGGAAAATTTGGAGTATCTTATTTGTAGGTAAACGTTAGAGAGTGAGAAATAACAAGTAGCACACGTATCCTCCATTTCTTCAGCTGCAGGTCATACTAGCAAAGGAAAATGCTGAGCCCTGACTGTTCCCAGGCCTCTTTCTAAAGCAATGCCACTCTACCGAACAACAGTAGAACACAGACCATCAGCTTCACATTTACAGATTTGGAGGAAGATGTTACAGGCCTTGCAGAAAAGATTGCAAAAACCTCTTGTGGTTGTGCTGAGAACTGTCACGTGCTCACAGGATCAAAGCCAGGAGCTTGTATCTCTGGGCAGTGACACTGCCAGAGGTTCAGGATGTCAACAACCTCAAAATAATGAAGACTGAACATAATACTAACTGATTTAAATACGAGAGGATCACACTGGAATACGGAAAAGATCAGGACTAGAATGCAGAAGAAAATAGTCCTATCAAACTCGATTTGAGTGCGTTTGACCGGCCCGTGAATTGGCAACCAGCAACGGGAGAAGCAGCACATCTCGATCAGCGAAATATCAGCGCGTGGTCAGAAAGGAGGAGGTCAGACTTGCTGAAGGTAAGGAACTACTAAACCGTGACGACAGTTAAACAAGATTTCGCACTTCAGAAACTGAAAATAAGGAGTTGCTTGTAGTTATCAAAAACCCAAAGCCTATTTTCATATCCAAATATTCATCCAAGGATCTCAGTGTGCCCTTATGCTTCCCAAAGGAAGAAATGAACAAGAGAAATTACTTGTTTCCCCGTTATTGTTACCAGACCTCTCTCACCCCTCAGGGCCCAAGTCCTGTCCTCTCCATATGTGAATCGTGCAGCTGCTGAAGCTCACTGGTTAAAGATCACTCAATGTACAAAAATAGACAAGGATATTGTTATTAGCTGCAGTGTCAGACCCTTGCCTGCAGCCTTCCAGGGCTGCAATTGCCCAGAAAGTTATGAAGTGGAACGTGTCCAATGCGGAGCATCTCTGGAAAGGTCTCCCTTCAGAAAACAGAAGTTAATGATTTTTCAAAGGAACAGAATCTGGTCACATCAGGGAGGCTTTCCACAAGACCACGGAGAGAGAGCACACACTTGATATTGAATCCTCTTCTCACATCTGGTTTGAGACAGGTAGGGGAGAGATTTTGCAACAAAGCAAATGCAGGCAAACCAACATCTTTTTCCTAAGTTAATCTTCAGGAATAAAGTCATTCTGACAGATGTTTCCTCACACACATCAAACCACACTGTAAGTAGAAATTCCTCAGATAATTTTACAGCAAAGTTATTAACAACTGAAACGCGTGTCTTCGGAAAGGAACTATCATAAGTCTTTAATAATCAGAGAAGCTACTGCCTAAGCGTTCAATTAACATCTACAGTAATTAGCGAATTGTGTGACTGACAGGGCAGGTGCGCTGCAGTAAAACGTAAACGTTTTGGCAAAACCAGATTTGCAGTATATAGAATTAAACGCATAATTTTCTTACCCATCCGACTGGGTTCTTATTTCAAGCACCTTGAACCTCTGTCTTCCTATTGCTTTCACTTTGACCGTTTCAATCCCGTATTCCTGCTCTTCTCTGTAGGCGTATATTTCTGCTGTTGTTCCAAAATGAGCTTCCCTTTCACGTACGTTACTGAAAGCCACAGAATTAGAAAGGTTAACTACCCTCCAAACAGCACTGTTCACTCCGATTTCATGACTTAGTCTGCCTGCACTGACTGTACAAGATTAGTCTTATCAAAAAAAGGAAATTTGATTAAATACCTTCAACCGACCACAACCATTTTTTTTTCCATTTTAAAAGCAACTTCTAATCTTTTGTTTGCTTGTTGGTTGGGGTCTTTTTTGCCAGTCGACTTGGTTTTATTTTAGGGTCTAGAAGGTGGAATTCTCAGAACACAGGGATCATCAAAGTATCTGCAATTGAAATGCAGATACCAGAAGTACCAAAATTCTCTAGACTTCATATATTTTTATATATATA